CTTGACCCCATGGGCTGGGGAGGTTGCCCTGGGGGTTATCTTTGTGCAGAGCTCTAATGGACCACAGGGATAACTTGATGAGAAAGATGGTGGTGAGATTCTCCTGGAAGAGAAAGTGCTTGGGAAGAGGAGATGTGGCTGCTAAAATGAACAATAGTCAGAGTGTCTGGATAGCAGGGAGGGGCCAGATGAAAGGTTAAAGTGGTAGTCAGGGGTCAGATCTTCACAGATGGGAGTGGGCTAGTTGTGTTAGCCTTGGTGTAGTGGTAGGAAGTCACTGGTGGTGGCTGTGAGGTTGGGATGAATAGTGAGATGATGTGATTTGACTTGGGTTTAGATCGCTTTGGAAGTTGTATTGAGAAAGCTTTGAGTTGAATGAGTCCGGAGAGAAGTAAGTGGTAGGTGGTGACCCCAAGGAGTTCTTTCATAAGCCAAAGTGGGAAATGGCTGGGGTAGTGACATACAGAGAAAGAGGAAATTGAAACTCTTTGGGATAATTTGCAGGCTGTGCATGCAACATCTACCAACTTTATCTGCTAGGCATTCTGCACAAATTCACCGATTAAGGAAGAAAACTGTAATATAAAACATACATCAAAGTGTTACCTGCATGCCAGGTACAGGAGAACTTGATCCTCCTGCAGTCAGAGGCTCCAGGAAGAACCTCCCAGGTTCAAAATCCAAGCTGTGCACACAATTGATTAAGCTGAGGTCATGGGTTTCTGTTCTGTGTGACTGGTTGGTATTTGTTTGTGCAAAGGGTTGCATACAAATTGCCTGGCCATTTCTGTTTACATATTATATCATGAAATTTCATAACATAGGGGTATTTCTCAGATGTAGGAAGTGGGGGGCATATGTTAAAGACCAAAGGAACAATGTTTGGATTTTTTTGAGGATTATCTTAATGCTTACAATATTACAAGTGTCCCATTCTGCAGATGGGAAACAAACATGGGGTCCCTGGAAAAGTTCTATCTGCTTTCCCAATGAAATAGTGTTCTCCTCTAAGAGATGCTTTAGCTCTAAATGTGGAATGACTTAGAATGGCAGGTTGGCAAGGTGGTCCCATGGCTTCCAGTCTCTATACTCTGGAGTCCTGGAGAAAGAGGGACCAGAGTCCTAGATGCATGGTCCTGCTCTCCTGCGACCCCAAGCAGTCTCTCGGTACTGCCTCTGAACTGAGTGATCTCCACAGTATTTACTGTCTCTCCCTTGTGGTCAGTTGTACTGAACTCATCAGATTAAACAATCCCAGCTGTGTAATGAGCTGTCCCCAGATTGTCCCATTAGACAAAAGCTGAAATACCCTTTTCTTCTGATTCTAATGGAATACTTTACCATAAGTAGTCTCAACTTCCTGCAGAAGGCTAGTCTCCTTAGCTAAGTGCAGGTGAGCAAAAGCTGCCACTAATGAGACCTGGGCACAGAACTAAGGCATCTAAATTGATCCATTGAGTTGAATTAAGTCAGAAATACTCAGGGCTTCAAGTCGTTGTGAACAGACACTCACGGTGTGACACAGCCCAGGAAAACACAATGAGGGAAAACCCAGACTAAGAATCCAGGGAGCCATTTGGTGGTGGTGGGTGGTGGACAGAGGGTTCCTCTTTGCTGTTACATCTACATGTGCCCCTTTTTGTCTCTTCTACATTCTTTTTTTTAAATTTATTTATTTATTTATTAAAGATTTCTGTCTCTTCCCCACCGCCACCTCCCCTTTCCCTCCCCCAATCAAGTCCCCCTCCCTCGTCAGCCCAAAGAGTAATCAGGGTTCCCTGCCCTGTGGGAAGTCCAAGGACCACCCACCTCCATCCAGGTCTAGTAAGGTGAGCATCCAAACTGCCTAGGCTCCCACAAAACCAATAGGTGCAGTAGGATCAAAAACCCATTGCCATTGTTCTTGATGTCTCAGTAGTCCTCATTGTCCGCTATGTTCAGTGAGACCTGTTTTAACCCAGGCTTTTTCAGACCCAGGCCAGCTGGCCTTGGTGAGTTCCTTATAGTACATCCCCATTGTCTCATTGTGTGGGTGTTCCCCTTGCGGTCCTGAGTTTCTTTCTCGTGCTTTCTCTCCTTCTGCTCCTGATTTGGACCTTGAGATTTCAGTCTGGTGCTCCAATGTGGGTCTCTGTCTCTTGTCTCCTTTCATCGCCTGATGAAGGTTAATGTTCAGGAGGATGCCTATATGTTTTTCTTTGGCTTCTCCTACTTATTTAGCTTCTCTAAGAACCCGAATTATAGGCTCAATGTCCTTTATTTATGGCTAGAAACCAAATATGAGTGAGTACATCCTATGTTCCTCATTTCTTAATTCCAGCTCTTAAGGAAAGGGTACTCCCTTGTTCATCCACCATCTAAGCACAATGTCAGAGCCCTTTGCCTGTGCTTAATCCTCAGGGAGCATCTACAATAGGTATAGTTAAGGGAGCCCCTGTCACAGAGGCATACTGATTTTCCAAGGTCACATGTTAACCAGGTAAAATTGGGGTTTGAATTTATCATCCTCTTGTTTAAATTCTTTCTTTCATACCACTAAGAAGCAGGGTGTCCCCTTGAATCCTTTTTGGTTTCTTGATGCATTGGATTGACCTTAACTATCTGAACCTTTGCTCAGAGGATGGGAAGGACCTAGTACAGGGGGATGCTGGAGATGAAAGGGCATCATAAAGAGGTGGTGAACTGGTGGGAGAAATTCCGTGATAGTTGCATGCTTAGCAGTCCACACTGTAAGGGTAGCAGCCATATTTGATACTTTAGTTGGGGCTTCTAGTGAAGTTCCTTGGAGCTTGGTAGAGCCGCCAGGGAATGGAGCCATGCTTCGCCTCATCTTCACCTGCTCAGCACCTATCCTCTGATTATAGGGGGGTCTCTCTGTATGCTGTCAATATGTTTTATTCCCATTGGTTAATAAGGAAGCTGATTTGGCCAATAGCCAGGCAGGAAATAGAGCCAAACAAGGACACAGGGGAAAAAGGGCAGAGTCAGAGAGATGCCAGCAACTGTTGGAGAAGCAAGATGTGAGGTAACAAGTCAGGAGCCTCGCGGTTAAAATATAAAATAATAGAAATGGGTTAATTTAAGTTGTAAGAGCTAGATAATAATAAGCCTGAACTAATAGGTCAAATAGATTTTAATTAATATTAAGCCTTAGAGTGGTTATTCGGAAATTGGTGGGAGGGAGAGAAACCCACAGTAGAGTCCTCAAGTCTCACATGTGGATTCTAGTGCACTATCTCCAGTACATACTTCTCTCTTTTATAAGGAGATAGTAATATAAGATGAGTTAATAGGATGTAAAATATTTAAAAAGCACCAGGTGCATAGTTCATGCTCCATGAATATTAATTAGATATTAGAATTAATGTTATGGGATCTTCATAAACATCATCTAGGTTGAATGCCTGGTGTTTACTATCTGGTTTTCCAGAGAGTCTCTCTCACCTGTTCGTCATCCCCACTAGTATAAGCTATGGTTCTACAGTGACTCTTTACTATATGGTGGTCATTGTGTAGATCCTATTCCTACTCTAATGCTGAGAATGAAAAGTCTTAAAAATAGAGCCTGTGAATGGGTTAGTGATATATAAAAACTTCACATGCCCCCAAGAGACAATCCCTGTCTATGAAATGACACAGGATTCAAGAGAACACCCTAATGAAGGATTGTTGGCCTGTGGGCTCCGCCTGCATCACTGTTGGGCAGCCATGAATGAAACACCCGCTGCTCCTTTCTGAAGGGTGCACAGATCATGGGTTAGAAGTCACTGCCAGAATGTTGTGGTCTCTAGGCCATGTTTCCTGAATCTTATCCTAGAAGCTCAAACATTTGTGTGCATCTCGGTTTCTGTCCACGACTACTGTGCTTCCTCAGATGGAGGAAGCCCATCTGACAGGTCCCTCAGATTCAACTGGAATAAGATCCGGGGCTCCCTCTAGGATTATACGGCCTTTTCTTTGACCTCAGAATCCTTCAGTTTACACTGTAAAGGGCCCTGATGCTTGCTAAGCATCTCCCAATCTTCTAATCTGCCATATAAGCTTTAAATTCTCTCTTCAATATTTTCACTTGCCCCTTCTTCTCCATAATAAAGATATAAATAAAAATGTCATCTTATTATTGTAATCTCATTACATTAGCTTTTACCCTGGGAAACTTGGATTTTCCTTTACACTCTTTATGTTCTTGGGGCTTTTAGGACCTCCCTGACCCAGAACATTACAGGTGATTCGCAATGCTCCTGGTTGCCCACCAGAAGGAGATTGTAAGACTCTGTTGCTGAAGACACCAGACGTTTGGGTTATAAGACATTGAGAAATCAAGCTGAGCTGGAAGTTCCTTCCAGCTGGCTCGCTTTCACAGTGCTGGAATTAGGTGCTATATAAGTGCGTAGAGAGGAAAAATCCTTAACGTTCCTATGCAGCCATGCATCCTTTGAGCTACAATGAGGACCTGCCTGGTAAGCTATGCCGACCAGTGTAATAGTGTTACTATTAAAAGGGTAACAGTCCACTCTCTGCTTGGATTAGAGGCCAAAATGAAGAGGGAATGTGGAGAAAATTCTTTCTCAAGCACAGAAGAGGTGAGGTGAGGTGAGGTGAGGTGAGGTGAGGTGAGGTGAGGTGAGGTGAGGTGAGGTGAGAGGAGCGATCAATAGCTGGGCAGTTAGTTTTATGAGGAAGAAGGGCCAACCCTGAAGCTTGTTACTGCCAGGTTAAAGTAAGCCAAGCGGACTCCCAGCTCTGGCATTGGAAGTCTCTAACCCCATCCAGGTTCTTCCCATTGGTATACTTTTGACAGTACAGGACTTCGTGACTACTGACTTCACTGACAAGACTGTTTGGGATCTTAGCTGTAGGAAGTATAGAGGTGGGTCAGACCGCAGATCAGCTGACTCAGAGGGTCTGTGGTCAGGGACCCAGACAATTTTCTCTGCACTCTCGCTCTGTTCATGATGGCATAATTGCTCTCATTGAAGTCGGTTTGCATTATCTTCTAGGTCTAATAGGGAAGAGACGGTCTCAGCTGGTGGTTCTGCTTAGAGAAAGAAAACCTTTCCTAAGATCCACTCTGTCCTGACTCAGTGGCCTAAAGTCACTAAAGCCTTGGGTCACACCCTGAGCAGTCCACTTGCTGTTAGGTTCAATGACGTCCCCTGAAGTGGAATGCGTTTGGCTGCTCTTTTAGTATGCGGATGTCCTGCACAGTATTTGCTGGCCTGTGTGTCCCAGTGTCCCTCACACACCAAAACGGGTAAATATTTGGCAATAGGACAAAGGGAAAGATTGTAGGGGGTTAGAGTAAGCCAGGGATTTAGAAAGAAGGTCAGATCTGAGTCTTGCCTTACCTGTGTGAGGACTTCCGTTACACCTACTTTGGATCCTTAGAGACCAGATTTGAGAGAAAAGAGACCATACCTTCTCCCTCATAGGCCCCCCTTGGCCTGTCTTTTCAGGGTCCCGACCGCTGTGGGCAGGCATTGCTGCAGATTGGGATGAACATGATGGCACTACCCGGAGGCCGCCACCTGGATTCCATTCCTCTGCAAGGGCAGAGGTAAGTCTTTCTCTTCTACTACCCAGGAGGAGATTGGTAACAGCTGGTCCTTGGGAGGTACTAGCTGCCTTGAATGGAGTGGTGTGGGTAGAGGGAGGGCGGTGGTTTAAGAAGTGTATGAAGACAGGGGTTTGAGGGTATTTAGTCTGGAGGAGAGATATGTGGTCATCGGAGGTGCCTACTTCCGGTTGGAAAGTCCACAGAGAGTTACCAGTGCAGATTTGACTTGGCAGGCCATGGAGCTCGGAACCAGAAGCGGGGGTGGAAGTCCAGGGTGCCGGGTCTATACATGATGAGCTTTTCTGGGACTGCCCTGACTGACATGAAAGATCCACTCCTTAGACATCCTTCAGGTTCAGGCACGGGGATAGCTGGTAACTTTGAGGAAGGCTTAATCTGCAAAGGAGCTGTGTGGCCCGGTGCTCCGGACTTCTGATAATTGGTCTAGCCTTGGATCCTTTAGACCCTCCATCATCACAGGAACTTTTTCTTCAGCCCTAGCAGTCAGCATTCATTAAAATCCTGTGTCTTTCCTGATTTTTTTGAGGCATTTTGATGAGCTGTTTAGAGAAGACATAATTCTGTTAAATCCTGTTTTGTTTTGTCATGTTTTGTTTTATGTCTTGCTGTTATCTCACCTTTTCTGTATCCCCAAGTTCCCACCAGAACTGCTCGGGATGCTGAGCCACCTTACCTTCCTTTCCATACTGCTCATTTGGTTTTGGGATAGCTGTATATATGTATAGATGAACAGACAGACATATGAATAGATAGATGATGGTTGGCAGGTAGGTACACAGAAGATAGTGTGATGCTTTAAAATAAAAGGATGAATTACATCCCCAAACTCCCTAGTGGGACGGATTTAACCACTCTCTATGAAGGTCTTGTCTATTCTCCCAAAGCCATCATTAGAAGGAGGTGGAGAAATTTAGCACACAGTTCTTGCATGTTCCCCAGGGCACAACACTATTAGAAGTGTAATTTAAAGCTTCCTGTACGGACAGAAGCAGGCAATAAGTGATTGTATCTTTGCACGTAGTATGTATGGTGAAACTCAGAAATGGTGGGATGTGACTGTCAGGAGTCTGGCGGTAGAGCTGCCCTGAGATGATCAAGAGCAGTCAGCTATGGCCATGCGGCTACCCGGCCTTAGAGCTGAGTTGTTCTTGTTGTTCACTGTGTGGCTGGTGAGAATTCTGGAGCCCCATCTCTCCTCCAGTCCCCGCATGTTTAAAATGGGGATGATGGCAGTACATACCATGCAGGGTCAATGTGAGGCTAATCAGATGAATATATGCAAACTATGTGGAGAGCTATGTAGAGAGACTATTGCTTAACAAAAGTCTGCTAATGCCAGGGTCACTGTGTAGGTGTCGTTCGAGAATTCTCCTATCCGACCCTCTCCCCCACCGGTGGGTGACCTTACCAATAAACAGAAAAACACAGACTCTTTAAAAGTCTAGTATTTTAAACTAGGAACAACTGGAAGAGTCCTGGTATAGACGGTACAGTCTGCCTGCCACTGCACTGCCCATCCCTTCCCCGTGTGACATTAAATCGGGCTGTGGAGCAGCAATGGTCTGGCAATGGGATCCTAAGAGGGTGGGACAAAGTCTGCTCTAGGGCTGAACAAGTGTCTAGAGTGGTGGTAAGGAGGGTGCCTCAGCTTGACTCCGGACTCTGCTATAAGAAAAAAAAAATCTGTTTTTTTTTTTTATTTTTGAATTCATTTTATGGCTCAACTGTTAAAGGCTAGGTTCACAACCCAACCAAAAATATAAAATTCTGTTTCTTTATCTGTGAGCTGTGAATAATTTGTACTTATGTCAGTGGCTTCGTATGAGACTATGAACCTCTTTCTCTCTCTCATGCACACACCTACCACTACACACACACACACACACACACACACACACACACAAGCAAAACCTATTGGCACACAGGGATTCCTCGATTGGCTAGCTTCTCCTTCAGAACAGGTATAGGCTCCCTTGAATAAAGGATAAGCTGTGAGGGTCGGATTTTGGCAGCCTTTATGTCTCTCTGGTTACCTACTAATCTTTCTTTTTTCTCTCAAACTTCCAATGTCCCTAGAAGTTTTAAGAAGAAGCAGGAGTTAGATCACATGACCACAACATGGGAATCTAGCTGGCCTTATCTAGCAGGCCCTCCTTGGGAAGTCCAGGCAGTGGACTGGGCAGAAGAGCTGTGGACTGTGGAAGGAGCTGATTACAGTGTCCTCATTCTCTTGCTGCATTTCTGACGGGTCAGTGAGTCCAAGAGAGGGAGAAACATGTTTCCTTTCACACGATGCTAGCATGATTCACACGCTCCTAGCCTAGCATTGCAAAGCTGATTGCAAATACTTGGGGGTAAAACCACTGGGCCTGGAGACCTGTCTATCATGTATGTTCTTGAGCTGTATTTTTGTATTATGGGGTATTGCTTGCAGAGAAAGTTAGTTCCTGCTCACAGGATGTCAGGGGTCTGGTTCGCTCAGTTGGGTACTAATATTAGAGGCAGTCAGTAGCAGAGACTACTGTTTCACGCTGTAGAGGTCTCTCTTGTGGTGATTGCAACATGGTCCTCACAGCTAGCTAAAGGGGCTGGCCTTAGCCACAGCCCGTCGCACCATGGACTCAAATGCACAAGTACCTTCTATGGCAAGTTGCTACTCACTGAACCTTCACTGTGGCCTATGTAATCATTGTTGTCTCTATTTTGCAAACAAGGGAGTCATAGGTTAACTTTTCTGGAAAGCAGCCTTTGCGGTGGTGCTGCTCAAAGTCCAGGATAGATTTTTGGGAGGCCCCTTGGGCTGAGGTTGTCAGTGTTTGTGGGAGGGAGAGGGCTGGGTAGAGGGTTAAACTGAATTTCAATACTGGTTCTGTGGTAACTCACAGGGACCTTTGGAATCAGAGTTGTTCATAGGTCCAAGTGGCAAGTACTTTAGGGTCTACCTTGCTGTGTCATTGGGGAATAAAACTACTTTCTGATCCAGAATCCAGTAAGCTGGGACTGCCCTTCTGCTTCAAGTCAGGCAGAGTGAAGTTCAGTAGAAAGACTACAGATTTCACCAACGAGAAGCCACTAGCCACTCCCTCCCTGGAGTCCATTACTAGCCGGGGAGATTTTCTGTTTCCTGTGTGTGTTCAGCCTGGAAGAGCTCACTGCCTCTGCTGCTGCAGCCCAGCCCCGTGAGACTTCCTGGTTCTGAGTGCTGCCCAACGAACGAGCCACTCTTTGCTCATAGAAACTCTATGCATCAGTTACTTCCACATTAGTGTGACCAAATGCCAGACAAAAGCAGCTTACAGAAGGAAGGGTTTATTTTGGCTCACAGTCTGAGGGTGCAGCTCACGGAAGGGAAGGAAGGTTAGCGAGAACCTGACTGAGGGTGCAGCTCACAGAAGGGAAGGCAGGTTAGTGGGAACCTGACTGAGGTGCTGCCCACGGAAGGGAAGGCAGGTTAGTGGGAACCTGACTGAGGTGCTGCCCACAGAACCTGACTGAGGTGCTGCCCATGGAAGGGAAGGCAGGTTAGTGGGAACTTGAAGTGGGATCACATTGTGTCCGTAGTCAGGAAGCAGATGGGGATAAATAATGGTGCTCAGCTTGCTTTCTCTTGTTTTCTTCATCCATGGAATGATGCTGCTTTTGTTTAAGGAGTGTCTGTCTAGGGCAGTGAAACCCATATAGAAACCTGCCCACAGTCACGGGCAGAGGTTGATCTCCAGGGACACTCCAGACCCAGGCTAGCCGACAAGCAATTTTAACCATCACATTCTGTGAAATACATTTTTTTTCAGTTTCTCTCTGAAGCAAGAGCAGATATAGAAAGGGCATGCCCCACCCCTCTGAGGCCATGCCCCAAGGGTTTCACAGCTAAAGGCTTCAGGTTGTGATGCTTCCAGCAGCTATTTAACGAATCTTTCTGTAAAGAGGTTTGGAAGCACTGGTTAATCTGTACCCAATGAGACACCGAGGCTTGGAAAGGAGACAGAGCTGCTGTGTAGCAGAGCTAGGATGAGACTTCTACCCCTGTGCTGGAAGAGACTCAAGCCGGTCTATTTAATCCACAGTGTTCTCGGGAATTGTACAACCACACACTCAACTATTCCAGCGGTCATGTGTTTATCCACCTCCTGAAAAGTTATTGTACAAATATTTATTGATTGTAGATCCCATATCTTGTACGGTACGGTGTAGTTGAGGACATGTAAGGACCTGGTTGGATGTTGTCCTTGCCGGCAGGAAACTCACACTCTATCCAGTGACTTCTCTATTGGGCTGGTTGTCTTAGATTTGCAGCACCTCTGACCCTTTGACTGAGCATGAAGCTCTTTGTTTTGTGAATTCTGTTTAACCAGAAGTCTGAGATGACCGGGGGTGGGTGCCCCTGTAGCTAGTGATGAGTAGTCCACTGGTTGTCCAGCCTACTATGGAGATGCAGTGGGGGCCGCTGCAGGCCAGCCCATCTCTGAGTCAGTAATGACTTACATGTGTGCTCCCTGCTCTGTGGCTGCTGTTCTGCTGCGGAGGGTCATTTTCTGTGACGGTGGTGAAGTGTGCAGACTGTAATTGTCAATGGGATAATTGTACGTTTTTCTGTTGCTGAAGCCAAAAGGCAGGCCAATCAAAGCTAGAATTAAATTCCCTCCCTTCTCTCATTTCTCAAGAGAAATCCGCAGAAACATAGTGTGTGACCTTGAGCAGGCAGACAGGAGTGGTTCAGTAGTTATTTTTAAGAAGACGTTGAATATAAATTCCCACACACTTCTGGGAACTGGGGTTACAGAGGCATTGAATGTTATAGCTGCAGTTACCTCCGAGTTTATCTATGCCTGAGAAACTGAGGCTCAGAGCAGGGAGGGAGCTGTTTACGCTTCCTTCCCCACCTTTGAAACCTTTCTTCCCTGGCTTTTATTTCATTTCTCCTCCCTGCCTCCAGAAATTTTCTATGGCAGGGATCTGTAATAAAGAAATAATTTAAAACA